ATTGAGATACCAGATCAGTACTTGGAGAAGCCCCAGGGAAAAGGTTCTGTGAAGATGGTCATAGTTGTTCCAACTCCTAGCTTTCTTTCTGATATTTCTCTTCTTGCTTGTAATGCAAGAGTGGATTGTAGTGCCCCTCATGCGCATTTTATGATGACAAAGCTATAAAAGAAGGACGTTTTGATTATGTCTTTGTATCTCATGTTTTTATGCTTGATGATTATAACATTAGTGACTCTGATCATGATTGTTTTGATTATGTCTTTGTATCTCATGTTTTTATACTTGATGATTATAACATTAGTGACTCTGATCATGATGATGAGGGAGATGAGCAATACCCATTATTGCCCTCCTCGAGCAGTACATATCGCATTTGCGATGATTTGAGCGATAAATTTGTCGATGCAGGTGAGGCCTTGGTTCATGAAGACTTTTTTTACGAGTCTTTTGCTGAATTTGCCGCTGAAGTCGAACTCATTGGGTCATTTAGTGAGAAGGTTCAGGAAATCCGCCTCAGAAGCGGTAAAATCCTCCCTTCTAGAGTGTAGTTACATCGTATGTGGGATTCGTTGTTACACCTTCATCAGGATATGTTATTACAACATTTCGGGGTGTATTGTTACAATATCTTTGGAACGCGCCTTGTACTGTATGTGAGGAAGCACTTCACTATTTCACCAATCCTGCTGGTTAGGTTCCCTCAAGCAACATCGTTGGAGCTTTTCATCAATGTTGGTGCATATTTGTTCTAACGGTATAATTATTTTGAATTTGGTGTACTTTTCATCACATCAATCAACACATACTCTGGGTAATTAAAGAAAAGCAAGAAGGAGAAGACACATCGATGTTTTACATGAAAAATAGAAAGAAAAAAATACTATCGGGTCTAACCCAATTGAAGTAATCTGCTAAAAATGGTGAGTATAAAAATTCACACTACTCCTGAATTAGAGAAGATTTAGTTAAGAAATTGATCATTGTAAATGTACAAGAATAGTTCATTGATAATAGGCATAGTTTGTTTTTAATGAATGTAATTCTCAGTGATAGCAAACTGCGTGAGTCATAATTGATTGTTATGGAGGCAGTAGTTCATCGTAATTAATGTAGATGGTCAATGTTGCGCCAGCTTGTCTTATGGGATGTAGTTAAAATTGATGGTAATAATCATGTGGGTCGCAGATGGTTGCTGCAGGAGTTTCAGTTGCCTACAGAGGCCGTCGTAAGAAGTTGTAGGAGTTGTGAGCCACAAAAACTGTAGTTACTCACATAGGTCATAATGGTGAGCTATAATGATGTCAGTAAATCATCGGGCAGGAGTCGGGAGCTGAGCGATTTGTACCACGTAATATATAGTTGGTCACGTAGGTTATAGTAGTGAGTTATGATGAAGTTCGTAGGTCATAGAAACCAGATTCAGGAGCAACACGAGCTATGGATCTCGTAGCTCGTAGTAAGCCGTAGTGTGAGCTGTGATGGCTTCCGTAGACCGCAGAGACCAGAGTCTAAAGTTGCAAGAGCTGTGGATCACGCTAATAGTTGGTCACATAAGCCGTAATGGTGGGCTGCAAGAAAATAACTTTAGGAGCCTGAAAAAAGTCATAGTCTTCGAAAAGCGTAGTTACATCGTATGTGGGATTCGTTGTTACACCTCATCGGGATATGTTATTACAACATATTCGGGGTGTATTGTTACAATATCTTTAGAAGGCGCCTTGTATTGTATGTGAGGTGTGTTGTCTTGCAGAACGCACCATAGAAGCACTTCACTATTTCAACAATCCTATTGGTTAGGTTTCCTCAAGCATCATCGTTGGAGCTTTTCATCAATCTTGGTGCATATTTGTTCTAACGGTGTAATTATTTTGGGTAATTAAAGAAAAGCAAGAAGGAGAAGACACCTCGATGTTTTCCATGAAAAACCACATAAAGAAAAAAAAACTATCGCACCTAACCCAATTGAGGTAATCTACTAAAAATAGTGAGTACAAAAGTCCACACTTCTCCTGAATTAGAGATTATTTAGTTAAGAAATTGATCATTGTAAATGTACAAGAGTAATTCATTGATAATAGCCATAGTCTACTTGTAATGAATGTAGTTTTCAGTGATAGCAAGCTGCGAGAGTCGTAGTTGATTGTTATGGAGGCAGTAATCCGTCGTAATTGTTGTAGATGGTGAATGTTGTGTCAGTTTGTCTTATAGCATGTAGTTGAAATTGATGGTAACAGTCGTGTGGGTCGCAGGTGGTTGCTTCAGGGATGTTGGTTGCCTACAGAGGCCGTCATAAGAAATTATAGGAGTTGTGAGCCACGTATGTTGTGGTTGGTCACATAGGTCATAATGATGAGCTATAATGATGTCAGTAGATTGTTAGGCAGGAGTCGAGAGCTCGCGATTTGTACCACGTAGGATGTAGTTGGTCACGTAGGTTATAGTGGTGACTTATGATGACGTTCATAGTCCATAGAGACCAGATTCAGGAGCAACACGAGCTATGGATCTTGTAGGTCGTAGTAAGTCGTAGTGTGAAATGTGATGACTTCCGTAGACCACAGAGGTTAGAGTCTAGAGTTACAAAAGTTGTGGATCACACTAGAAGTTGGTCACATAGACCGTAATGGTAGGCTGCAAGGAGAGAACTTTAGGAGCCTGGACAAAGTCACAGTTTTCGAGAAGTGTAGTTACACCTTATGTGGGATTTGTTGTTACACCTTCATTGGGATATGTTCTTGCAACATATTCGGGGTGCATTGTTATAATATCTTTGGAAGGCGCCTTGTACTGTATGTGAGGTGTGTTGTCCTGCAGGATGTCTCATTACTCTGCAATGTATGTCGAGATTCCGCAACACACATTGTGATTCTGCAGGAGATTTTATTAGAATAAATCAGAGGCGGCCGACGGTGGTCGGCAGACAATGGTTGACAATGGTCGACTACTACAGAAGTGGGAGGTATTCATTGAATGTGCGGTGCAGAAGTTATGTTAGACTTCAGCTTCTCCACTAAGCTTCAGTCTTCTTTTAACTGAAGGTTTTCCCCTCTCAAGAGGGGACGTGGCTTTATTTATAGAGTCTGGAAGAGGCTTATATGTAAATAAGAAAAAAATTTGAACCACTCAATCATACGGCCTAGAGATATTCTCCCGATCAGATTGTGCTCGATTTGACTAAAAACATGTCAAATTTGGAATATGTTCGACCTTCCAATTATGCACTAAAAGTTTTCAAAAGTGGTTTAACAGCTTGATATGAGTTTAATTTGATTCAGATTAAACCAATTTTGGTATCATTGGGTCGATCTCATCGAGTCAGCCAGTTTAACTGTAAGTTTGTTAAAATTGGAGTTCTGAGTCACTTTTAATCGAACTTTAATATTTCTTGTTCAAAAAATTGCCTCAAAATTTGTTGATGTCATATCACAACTCTGAAACTTTACCTGCATGAATCAATTCAAAGCTAACATTAGTTTTAAAGTTACAATACGGTCAAGGCCTAATATTCAAAGAGAATAATGCAAAGTTTGTAAGGTTAAAATTCTAATTCTTGGAGGAAACAAAGATAAAAGAGGCATTTACATACATATTACCCAATTCCATTGTATTTACATTTCTAACATCTAAACTTTACTTTTTACATTTATGCCACCCAAATCTTCCAACGCACATCAAAATCACCACCAATTTACTTTTAAAAATTGAATGTATACACAAATATAGCTATACAAAAACTTTTTAGCTTATTTTATTGAATCAAGCCCACCTGCAGAATTGGCTGAGTCAAGCTCCCCTATCAAAGTGACTGAATTGATCCTACCTTCCAAAGTGGCTGAATAGAGCCCACCAACCAAAGTTGTTGAATCAAACCCACCTACCAAAATGGCTAAAGTGAACTCACTTGTCGAAGTGGTTGAATCGAGTCCACCAGCTGGAATGGTTGAATCCAGCCTACTTGTCGATCTGATTTATTCATTCAGTTCAAAATTTCAGTCTAACCCGGCTGCGCAAGAGTGGCTATCAGAGGAAGTCATCATGACTAGTAAGAATATCTATCAATCAAGTATTAAAAGCACCGCTCGACATTTAGGACTTCATCTTTTCACCCAGGCATCAGGAATGGGCACCGTACAACAACACAGAAAACCCACATCGCTGTCTTTTTTTAAAAAAACACTAGCGAAGAGTGTCAAACATGTGTTACGACAATTATTTTATTATATTTCTCTCTTGAGTATAAAAGGAAAGAGAAAAGCAGAGAAAAGACGATCAATCTCTGACCATCTCTCTCTCTCTCATTATCTCTTTGCGATACAAGATCATTATCGGGTTATATACACACATGAACAATACAAAAACTTGCGTCTCAAAAAGATTCAACATTGAAATACACATTTTCATGCATAGATAAGGAGTCGTGTATGTCGAAAATGAAGTTCATGTGTTAGATATATAAATGCATAGGATATGACAGGTATGTAAGTAAATCTTCCAAGATAAAAATTGAAAGGATGGGTTAATTTTGATTTGGCTCCAGTTTGCCTGCAGCATAATGCATTAAATAATGATGGGAGAAAACTTTTTTGCACATCTACAGAGGAAGCAGGAAGGAAGAGCATCAAAAGCTTTGTTATCATCATAACTATTTGCATCTTTGTTGTTTTAAATATGATTTTTTCACACATTATATTGAGGAGAATCAGCTGTCTTGATCCTCAAATTCACTGCATTTCATGATTTTAGCTTCATCAATGAGTAAATCAACGGAAGTCGTCGAAAATTTTCTAGTTTCTTGAATATGATCAGATTTATGTGTTCTACTGTAATAATAACATCAGTACAGCAATCAAACAGGATTTAAAATAGAATTTAGCTCCAAATTTAACAGTAAAAATCAACTGAAATCTACTATTAGGTTCTAAATATCATTAGTATCACTTCGGAATAATGCACAATTCAGATGAAATATGCAGTGGGACAAGCAGGTGAGGTGGTGAGGCGATTTCACAGCTGCCCGGAAGGAAAACAACAGCCAAAGGACGACTCAGTGAGGAGCGGGCGGCTTGACAGCATGTCGAAACTGAAAACAGCAGATTTCATGTTGCGAATGGCAGTTTTCTGCAAGTTGGATAAGGAAGGAGGCCTCCGAATGTCAGTGAGAGATTACTACCTCAATCCTATGAGGTTACAAATATACTGTTTGAAAGAGATCTAATGATACAACACTTCAATCTAAATAACCAGTAGGAAGTATCTCCAAATTACATACAATGGTCAAAAGTACTCCACCAGAATAAAATAACATACAAAGGAAAATAAAATAAAATAAAAGAATAAGAAATAAAAAATAAGGGTTTTGTAACAGATCTTACGGTCCAAAATTTAATATTACGAAATCCACACTTTCGTTAACACTTCCGTCTCTACCTACCGCACCTCTCAGTTTCACGCCCACACTTCCCTCTACATTCATTTTGGTGGATCCATAAAGGATCTATTGTCGAAAGAAGCTCATTTTCAATCCTTTTAAGGGCTTGAATCAATTTGAACAACAATTCAATTATGCGACGCATTTGCACAAACTTCCCCAATCTAAGTACATCATGTCTACAACCAATAATGTAGATATAATAGCATTATGAGAGTACCGAATCAAACTTCATTTTTAAACAATTTGGAAAGTCTTTAGTAATCATAATATTTATCTTCCTGACATCTCCACAAACCTTAAAATTACAAACATAGTTACCAAGGTGTTGATCAAATAGAGACATCTATTTCTCAGAAGCAAATTAATACTTCTTCACCAACAACATCAATCCGTCACACCAATCAATGTACTCATGAATGCCAACTCACTGGTCCATCAATGTGAATTTATTATAATCAAATATATAGCTAATTTTTTTTATTCTTAATCGTTTATACATCATATTATGTAATTCTCTCGGATTGTAGAAATATGGGTCAAAGAATGAAATAAAGCTCAAGCAATTCCGTGATCCACCTTTGTCAAACTAGCCAAGTTATCTTGTCTTGTAACACAAATGTAGAAGCTGACAATTTATTCCACCACAGCTTTAAGCGGTTCATGAAGTTTGCTTAGGTAAGAATGTTAACATCTATAACAAAAAAAACTTGGGAGATTTAATGGAACTTATTTGAGAAATCCGAAGCAAAATTTTGAATAGAAGAGCATAAAATAAGAAAAGACAAAAAACACCTGATTTAATGTGAAAAACCCCAAGAACTGGAAAAAAAACATCGGTTCGCGCCACACCAAAAAACTCCTTATGAAGAAAATGAGGAGTATCATACAAATTACACCACACTCATGCCTCTCTACAGTTTGGAAACTTCAAGATACTAGTATCCTCACCTTTACACACGAGAAAATAAAAAATTTTCGCCTTTTTTCTGCAAAGCCAAAACTTCTAAGCAAAAAAATGCTTGAAGTCTGTTATTTGAGTCCGGGTGACGCAGCACTGCGTCCAACATTGCAGTATCGTGCTCTCGTGTTTTGAACCTGAACAAGGCACGATGATTTTGTCTTCCAGGCGCTAGGGCGTTTCTGACTAGGTATTAGGGTGTTGCAATTACGGAACTAAGGCACTATGTACGGAAAAAACTTTCAGGGGCAGTGTCATCGAACACAATACAGGGGCACAGCCCTCGCCTACCTCACTAATAAACTTACCGTCAAGTTTGATTGGCGAATTTAAGTGTTATGAGTGAACAATTAATTAATACAATCAGACTTCACATAATAACATAACTAATGTCACCCACCCAAAATTTAAATCCCGATACCTGCGAAATGTTAACGATTAAATAAGTGACATCATAGTAAATGAAAAATCACAAACCTCTGCTGGAAAATTTTGGTGAAATGAATACAATGCAGGCTTCCAGCAACTACATATCCTGTAATCTCTATGAAGATTGCTTATTGATCTGCAAAAGTTAATAAATCTAAATCAGATGTCCGCTATGGAGCAAAGAGCATAGAAATATGCACAAAATAACAGTATTCTTCAAGGCTAAATAATGTCTCCAAAGGTACCAACTTTTATCTCCTATGAAAACGCAGAATGTAAAAATGCTTCAAAAAAAAAAAAGAATAAATATATTTTAAATCTTCAAAAAGATAAGCACAGACACAAATAACAACAAAAGGTGATTTTATCAAACTTTTTTGCAGTTCTACATAAAAACAGCCCGTCCAACCAAAAGATAAGCATTTTAGTAACCTTAAAGCAGTAAAACCATGGTTATGGGAAACTCCAAATGGTTGGAAACCTTAAAGTAAACAAATTAATGGAAATGCATTTTTTTGGGAGGTTGCTTAAGGAAAGTAGAGGTAGAATTTCTTTTGAATTAATAGAATGTGCAAAAAAATGTCAAACTCAAATTAAACATCATGAATAGCTTTTTATGTTAGTTGTGGAGTCTGATTGTAGCACCCATGAGCAGCAGGCTGGCTGGCTTCCACGCAAAAGTGCAATCGGCGACAAGGCACCGTGCCATGGGTGCTTAAGTGCCCATCGAGTGTTCCCAGACCGAGAAGGTAGAAGTCATGCACCCACTTCTGGCGCCGGGGCGCCTGTTTCCTGAAAGCTGGGCGCCCAGGCGCGCAAATCCGAGAGCGAGCCGTTTTCACGAGACTTGCTATTTATGTCACGATTTTGGGCAATGTATGTGAGGGCTTGGAGCATAACTCTTCCTATTTGTGCATCAACAAAATCCTAGTGAAGGTAAGAAGTTTTGGTGAGTAGGATCCCGGTGTTTTTCGATGTGTGTTTCTACGTCGTATCAGTAGGAAGAGTGTGGAATGGTGCACTATAAGTTTCTACGTGTGAGTGTGGAGAAAAAACTTGCATGAATCATTTGTAAAACTTTTTGAAATTCATAGTGAAATATGCTGGCGTGGCTCCGTGGTTTTTTCCCGTTCTCGGTTTTTTTCCACGTGAATTCTCGTGTGCATTTCTTGTTGTTTTGATTTTGCTTCTGTGCTTAAATTTATTGTTCTGATTTTCTCGAATCTTGTGATCCTATTCCGCTGTGACATTGAGAATTGTTTGGAGGATTCTCAACATTTTAGGCTTGTGTTGTAGAAGCATAAGCCTCGTACGCTTCAGAACAGAAAGAAAAAAAATTAACCTCAAAGTTGGAGCAGTAAGATTCCAATGCAACAAGAAGAAAGGTATGGCACAGCCCAAAGGGTGAATAAGGATTTTCTAAGTATTAAAAAAAATCAATTATATGGTGGTGTTTGGTAGAAAACTATTAATAGGCTTTAGCGATGGATTTAGCTTAAATCCAGCCAAACATCAAAAAACTGTAAATTAAATCAAATACCTTGTTAAATCGAATTTTCTTGTGTTCTGTTTGTTTTTACTCATGTTTTGTCTCTTTCACGATGTAAATCTGAATTTACTAAATCCGATTGTAAGGAGGATTTATTCTGACATTGCCCGCGAGCTTCACCGTAACAGATAAATCTGAATTTATCGAATTTGATAAATCTTATTTAACGTAAATTTGATTTGTAGTCAAACAACGCCTGAAAGTGCTTGTGTAATTACCGAGAATAGTACATAAAAGCACACACTTCTACAAAAATGATTGCACCGCTTCAAAAAATATTTAATAATTGTAGTTCGATATAAAAAAAAGAAGCAATAGGAACATCAATTCTCAATTTTAGTTTAAGCAGGGGTATATTATATTATGCAAATATTACGATGTTAACCTTATCATTTTGTTAATATAGCATTTTTAAAAAGGCTTTGCGTTTTATGTGTCCATTCTTGATTCACATCTACTTAACCCTACACAATCCTTAGCATTTGGTCTAAAATTTAAAATCAAAATTCTATGTTAGGATTTTTTTCGTTGTTGTTTGAAAAAACAATTACAAATCCTCAGGGATGAGAGTATAGTAATAAAAATTCTCCAAATTACAATTTAATTTTGTATTGATTAAGGCCAAAGCACAAATGCGCATCTATTTTAGTACATAAGCATCCCTTGAATGTAATAGTACAACTCCAACAATTAGTGCGAACATTTTTATTATAAAAATGACATTCCTTTTTGTGTTTTTGCTTTACTTCATCTTGAGTTGTTTTCATCTCTTCTCTTCCACTACGGATAAAATCCCAAGGCCTGTTGCATTAAAGCTAATTTCACACCTTCCTTGAAATGTCAATTGAGAGTAACTGGAAAACAAAGCGTAAAACACTTTTTTTGTCGTGTAAGTATTGAGGAAAATAGAGATAAGCCACCAGTGAACACCAGTTATCAAAAATTTATTATAAACTCGTCATGATATAATGTTACCACTCATGAGTGATTGTGTGCTAGCAAATAATAAAAAACTAAAGAAATTTACATTTGCAGCACACAATTCTTATGTATTTACATATCCCACACCTTAACTTTCATATTTACATACATATAGCACTTTGGTGCTTTAAACCTATGGATGAAAAGGAGTGTTTCACTTTTAAAAAGTGACAATAATGCTATTTTTTATGTGATATTAAATATTGAAGTGTTATGTGTGTAAATATGAAAATTTTGGTGTGAAATATGTAAATAGATAAGAATTGTGTGAATATGTAAATAGATAAGAATTAAATAGATAAGAATTGTGTGATATGTATGTAAATGCCCCGAGGGATGTTGGATGATGCAGCCTAACCCACAAATAGGGACAAAGGAACGCCTAGCTTTTTCAAGCAAATTCTCCTAATTATTGCCATCAAAGCCTTCATAAGCATGTATCTCTTCATGTCGTTTCTCAGTCCAATCCATAACATCAGCAACATAATCAAAACAATGTTACTTTTTTCTATATTAATAGCTTGAATATTTAAAAAATCTTTAAGATTTTGTTTCTTGTCCTAGTCCTTATCACTATTATACTTAACCATGATGTTTTTAGTTCCTACAATAGGAAGGATAGAATTAACTACGTGGTACAAATCTACTGCAATGTTCTTTTGCTTCTCCAAATTCAGATCCTTTTCAATCACATGTCTATATCCACTAGGACAAAAGTAATGGTCCAGTTCGAGGCGAAGAACAAAGCAACTAAAAGCTTAATGACCATAAATTTTGTGATGCTAATAGTAAGCTGAGAGCCCATCAAATTCAATGATTCCGATTTCACATCAAAATTATGAGTTTATTTCATTAATTTCGTGGTAAACCTAGGGCTAATAACAATTATAAAATGCTAGTGAGTAAGAAGAGTGTTTGCATGGCATATGTCATTCCTGTATGCATAAGAATTAAGGATGATATGTGCAAATCATCTCATTTTAGGTGGTATATCAGTAACCAACTCAGAAATAAATACTAAAACTTATTGGAACTTCCCAAACATATTACACTCATATAAACATAACAAAATACCAAGTCAAGCTCCTTTTTCTTACCACATTCTCTCCCTCATTATCACATTCTTCCAATATTTATCTCATGTAGAATACACCCAAACTTCAAGTTTAATGCAGTAACCACAGCTTAAAATATAATCATGCATCCAATGCGTTTATGATACATATGTAAAATGTTTACAATTTCTTATCACGTTGATACTACTGCATTCTAGTGTCCCACATAAATATCGGTTTCAGTAAGTCAGACACAAAATATGATGTGCAAGATTATAACAGTCACTGAAAACTTTGTTAGTTATATTCATGAACCTGAATCAAGTTAATGGTCATTGTCTCATTTGGAGTTCAGACCGAAAACCTTTAAAACCTTCAGTTGAACCCGCACTAGTAAGCAAAAGAAAATCCCCGCCAGGGAAGACAGATCTTCATTAACCCTGTTTTTCATTCAGTGCCTTGGTCTTCCTTAGGCCAAACTGTTAACAAACCATATGCTGCCAAAAGGTTCAGGGATAAAATAAAAATTGTTAATATCACAAATGAAATTAGCTATCACCAAATTTAAACTATTAATTGGATCCACATTCAATATATAACTCACCCAGTTGCTTCATAATGCTGAATTTTTAAATACCAATAAAGGAAACAACATAAATAAATAGAGGAGAGAAAGATGGAGTAAAAAGAAGTGGTGTACCATTCTCCTTGAAAACTATAGTATTTTTGTCAACGCCTGAGTGATTTTCTGGCTTGATACATCCTTCAACTTCGTTGCCTCTATCAATCTTTCAGAAACTGTCTTGTCAAGAGTAAAGCCGTTCTCCATCATATCATCCCATGTCGTAAGGGCCAAAGCAACCTTATCCTCCATTAGAAGTCCTCCAATAAGCAACTTGTATGTAACATCATCAGGAATTACGCCCCTGTTCCACATATCTTCATAAAAAACCATGGCTTCATTAACTCTGTGAACTCTGAGAAGTCCGTTAAGAAGTGCGCTGTAGCAAACTACATCAGGAGAGATCCCCCACTTAATCATATCATGGAAGTAGCTGCAAGCAAGCCCGATTCGGCCAGTTTTACAAAAGTGGTGTACCATAATGCAATAAGCATGAGCATTGGGGACCAAACCAACCTTGAAAATCTGATCAAAAAGCTCCTCAGCAAATTTAGCATCTCCATCCCTCAAAAACCCATTAATCAGAGTGCCATATGTCACTATATCCGGTTTTACCCCCCTCATATCCATTCCCTTAAACAGCTTGTGTGCGACAGATGTTCTTCTGGCCCTGCAAAGACCATCAATTAGGATGTTGCAGGATATGATATCACAAAGACCTTCGATCTCCATCTTATTAGTGAACAACTTATATGCTTTTTCAATCTTTTTAGTCTTGCAAAGACCCTTTAGTAGTTGATTAAAACTGTAATTATCAGGATTAACCCCTGAATTTTCCATAAATTTTATCAATCTCTCTGATTCATCCAGCATTCCTTTGTTGCACCAATAATTCAGAAGTATGTTACATGTAACAATATCAGGTTTGTATCCGCTTCTTCTCATCAGGGATACAATTGCTTTCGCTTTATCGACTCTGCCAGCTCTGCAAAAGCCATTAACAACAGCATTATAAATTGAAACACTCAGCTCACATTTATTTTTTATCGCTTCCATCATTATTTCATAAGCAACATCAGCTTGTCCATGATCACACAAACCAAAAATTAATGAACCACATGCAATAACATCCGGCTTAAAACCCTTTCTCCACATTTCGTCCCAAATTTCCACTGCCGAGGTGAATCTTCTGGTTCCACATAAGCCGCTGATAATCGTTGTATAGCTAACAAGATCAGGCTCTCTTCCTTTCTCAGCCATAGTTTGTAAGAAGTTCACAGCTTCATCCAATCTTTTTTCTTTACATATGGACTTCAAGTACTCGTTATAAGCCCAAATGTAAGGCACACATCCATTCCTATCCATGTCCAGCAAAAGTTTTTTGACAAATTGAAGATTTCCGGTCTTACATGAATAAGAAATGAACTTTGAATAGGTAAATGAGCTCAAAGTAAAACCTTCATGGATCATCTCATTGTAGTACTTCTCAGCTAAATCAAAACAGCTGTTTTTAATCAGCACGCCTATGAACTTATTGTAGTCTACACTAAAAACACGACAATCCGACACAATCATTTCATCAAATGCTTCAAAAGCAAATCTGAGCAAACCAGATTTGACATAACCTGATATAAGTATTCTATATATAGAACGGTGCAGCGTGAACCCTTCATCGCGTAATTTTCTCAGAATAACAGACAGAAGATCAAAGTTTTGATCTTTCAGAAGTAAACAGATGATTGACTTGATGGTGAAATGGTCATGCTTGAATCCCGGCTGGGTGTCAGCCCACATAAAGAAGCAGAAACCCATTTCAGAATTTGGAAGAGCCTTAAGCACCTGATTGACTGCGTAGTTATTTAGAACAATATTGAGACTCCGAAGTTCCAGCTCCACGTTATTGGACCATATACCAGACTGCAGAGCAGTTCTAAGACTCAAATAGGACTTTGCGGAGGAGGGTTTTTGGCTCGCAAATAAGCTTGAGATAACGTTGCCAGCTCTTGGTTTATGATTATTGTCTGATTTTCCAATCGAGCAGAATAGAACGATATGCGAGCTGGAAGAAGGCAGCGAAGAAGACCTAAGCCTAGAATACCCGATGGTTCTCTGAAGCGCACATTCCATCTGCTGGCTGAGAACCGGAGATGTATATATCGACAATTTTGTCGAGCAGATCATCCCAACTGCAAGACGGCGTCTTTTCAGGGAGAGTCCATCCCATTTGTCGGACAAAGAAGCGAGATTCTGTCATAGGAATTTCATCGTACAGCTGAAAGGAGTGATTATAAATCGAAGCCGAATTAGCTGTGAAGCAACTCCGGCGATGCGGATAAAGAATGTGGATATTGGAAAGCTGGATACGGCTGCAGATAATGAGAGTGGATGCACCGGAGCTCGTCCCGCTCCGGCGGTGATGCGGTGGTCTCGCCGGAGATATAGTGTTGGCTTTGTGGTGTCCGACCTCTGGTCTGGGTCAGGTCTACTCTAACCAGGTTTTCAATGGTTAACTCACTGAGGTAACTCAAATTTGCACTGTCTCAACTCAATTAATCAACTTGTAATAAATACAGTTGATCTCAATGCATTTTGAATAATTGTTTTAGTCAAAACATGAGAACATGCTGACTTAGATTTCAGCATTTTTATATTTGGATTAAATATCTCAATAATATGAATTCAGTGCATATAAATGATTGATTTAAGTCCTAATAAGCTTAGCATTTGAAATGTAATTCAAAAATTCAAAAATTTAATTAAAATGTCAATGATCTCCAAATTTAGCTTACTCGTAGTTATAACAAGCGGCTTGATGAGAGAAATTTAAAAAACCTCATATCTTACAATTTTGAGATCATTAAGAAACATAAATACTAAAAGAATCATTTTGTGATCTAATGAATCAACATTGTCCCTCTAATTGAGTTCACTAGAATTTCAATTGAATTTATCAAAAGTCATCTAAAAACTCGATGAATGTGACATCATTTTTCGACATAGAAATGAGATAAATCTAAGAGTTGAGCCCACTCTTGAAAAAAAAACAAAAACAAAACAAACATTAAGTCTAGATCAAGTAGTAAAAACCATTTTTGAAGTTTTTTATGCATAATTAGAAGGACAATTAGCTCCTAAATATGACATGCTTATAATGAGATCGTACATATTGACAAAACAAACCCAGGTCTAATATCACTCAATTTTAATATCATTAAAACAGCTAAATGTCTATAGAAAAAAAACATATGAGTGTGGGAACATACCCAAGTCATTTGATAACAATTGTCTGGATTGCTTATCTATTTGTAACTCATGTTCTATAAATAAAGCCCCACCCCTCTCTTGAAAGAGGACCTAAACATTGAGCCAGATGAAAGTTAGAGTTTGAAGAAGAATGAGTTGAAGTCAAACATCATTTATGCGTTGAAGATCTTACGAACTCCTTTCGCTTTTGCATCCATCAACCACTATTCAATGAACACAATCAGCCACCGTTTACCTGCCACTAGTGACTGCCACCTTTTCCTTGCGTCAGATCTCTTACAGTCACAACGTGCACAACAAAATCCCAACGTGTTTTATGGAACGACACAACGCCCGGCGGAGCAACGTGTCACCTAGTATGTCCTGGAGGAATGCACCTCAAAGACATTATGTTTGTTACAATAATTGTTCCCAGTTGAAGCTACTCCCGTTCATTGCATAACAAATATTATATCTTAAATAAAATGTATGGTACTTATCGTGCGTAGATTTGTGCATGTAATCATTATTTCATAAAAAAATTATTTTATATGGGCCACACCTCGTGGTCATTCTATTTTATCATTTTGGGTTTTGCACGTAAAAATTTATAATGTCCCTACTAACTGTTCTCACTTATCTGAGTGTGAAATGGATTATTGAAGAGCGCTAAGATGATAATTCATTACTCCACCACCGCGAATTCTCCATCTCGCATCAAACACGATATATATATTTAGAAATTCTATTAAACAAGAGAACAAATTTGTTTCGATCAATGCACACACTATATTTATTGGGAGACATTTGACGATCTCAATACAAACTCTATGAATCAACAGAATCAAACGAGAAGCTAAGAAATGAGAACGTTTACAACATACTAAACATAAACAAATAATATTTTATTATTATTGATATATAAATTTTTTTAATATAAGTGTATTTTAAAATTGAGAATTTATGTAACACTCAATACATTAATATCTATATACATATCTAACCCAATTATTTAACACCACATAAAAAATATCACAATCAAATTTTTTTTAAGAATGAAATATATGTTTTCTTGCATAAATTTATGACATAATAATATAAATATCAAAAGTAAAATTTGCAAATACATAAACTTTAAATTTTAAATTTGGTTTAACATGAATTCTAGGCCACGTGCAATTACATACAGACCACCCCAAACTTGATATATACAAATCATTTATCTTCTTTCACCTATTTTTTAAATTCTCACAAAAAAAATAAAAATTGATTGCAAAATCCTAACCCACACTTTTTATTTTTATCAAATACTCAATAGATCTGTAATGACACGCGTAAATATATAAGTTTGGATGGTCTTAATGTAATTATCCTTTAAAAAATTTTAATGACTACATAAATATTATATTTATGTTATATCAGCATTATTTTCACATTATATTTTTTATTACATTCACGCAATTTTCATGTAATCTACACGTATAAAAATAAAAGTGTGAAATTTACTTATAAGTCCAAATAGGTTACATACAAATCATTACCTTCTTGGCGCTATGAACTTGTGTTCTTCTCAGATTTAAGATGGCTAATAAGGAAAATCTTTATAAGTCCAAATAGGCTACATACAAATCATTACCTACTCAGCGCTATGAACTTGTATAATTGTATTCTTCTCAGATTTAAGATGGCTAATAAGGAAAATCTCAATCGGCTAGGCTAGTTTCCCGAATTACTGGTTGTCGTACACGTCGGCTACTGATCGAACTATTCCAGGTCTAGTCTCTCCACGCCATCTGCGTCCTGAATTCCGCCCCTTTGGATCTTGGCGCGGCTTCCACAGCCATCTTCTTCATACATCCTCCCTGATCGGCTCACTCTCGCCTCCTCGTTGTTTGATGCGTTGTTTCTTGTGTCTTCATCGAATTTCTTCTTCTACAATCAGGAGTTCCGTTACGTTAGTTTCTTGATCAATTTTGCTCTTCACTGCTCGCATATTCGAACATGGACAGTCAACGGCGCCGGATAGCATCGGTAGGGCGTTGTAATTGATGTTTCTACCGTGATTTTTGTTACTCTGTATATCTCTTAGTCAATGTGCCACGGCAGCTCTTCTGTGAGGCGAGTCTATGGTATGCAGGTAGAACATAGTTCAGGCTTGGTATTCCATCGTATTTTTGTTCGTGATCAGTTCTAAACCCAAAAGGTGTTGATTGTGGATTGATTGCTTGCTCCGAGGCCTTTTGTGTTAAATGTGCTTGGGATGGCGGTATGGCCTGCATCTTTTAATCGGGCTAGAGGCATTTTCCAAGATAAATGAACTGTGGCTTTGGTTGACTAGCTTTATTTCATAAAAAGGTGGCAGCTTTGGTTGTACAATGTTTCATTCCTTCTTCTCCTTACAGGAAGCAACAAATATCCGGTCATCAATGCCCACAGCTTGAAACTCTAGTAAAATCTGATAATTATAAGAAAGATTCTCAGTGGTTATTGTGTATTATTCCTTATTCATGTCATTGACAGTTTTTCTTTAGTCACTGGTGAACTTCAAATTGCTTATTTTGATTTACCATGGATGCCATTCATGGTTTCTTGGAACCATGAAGCTTGAATTGATATTTGTACCATAGACGTGCAAAAAAGCTGCATGGATTTTTACAAGAAAATAGATGCCAGATAATTGCCATGTTTAAACCGGAATGTGACCTCAGTCATGGTTGATTTTGACTTGTTTCAGACTAATGTTTTTTTTCTTTTGCTAATAGATTTAGAGCCCCTTCTTTCATTTCAAATGTCGGTTCTACCTTTTTTTTTCATGAACAATAATTTTTCATGCGAAGATGCCTATTCATTATGCTATTTGAGTATACAAATATATAATTCTAAAGAATACTATAAAAATTATTCCTTTTTATCATCGCTGCACTTATTAATCAGAGAAAATTTTATTCATCTCTTAAATTCAGCTTTGGATTCCAATACCAACAAAAGGAACAATCTGTGAAGTATCGATCTATCCCAATTGTTTAATATATTACGTGCTTCCATGTCTAAATGCTAATGAACATAAATCAAAGTGTTATGATGGTCCTATCTATCTTATCTCCTTTATATTATGCCTGTTTCCACGTCTAAAGGCTAATGAACATAAATCAATTTTTTATGATGTCCTTGTTTATCTTGTATCAACTATCTGAGTACCTTTTTTTTCATAAATTCTCATCTTTCGCTTAACTATTTATTTTTTGTCAGTTATTGTTTGACAATGTCTTCTTTACCAAACCCTAGAGAAGTTAGGGATTGTTTGGGATGGCTACAGTTGTCTATGAAAGTAATTGTAGAGTTACTGATTAGTCTAGTGAATAATCTACTCCGCTTGTTATAGCACTTCAACCAGTTGAATTTGAAAGCGCTCCCCACCTTGGACTCTAATTGGTAATGTGTTATTACTTACGTTTATGATAGTTGAGTTGAAGTGGTTAAGATCTAATCAACCCTCATTGGTAATGAATAGCTCAAAATAGAATCTTGCAACCATTCAATTATTTTCTTAATTTGTTTTGTTTCCTTTTTTTAAGTAAATATTTCATACTCCATAGCTAATAAGCTTATATTAAATGTGTTTATCTTTCAACTTTTTGTTTTCAAATTTTTTATTGGTAAAATATTCTTTTTTTGACTTCTTGGTACAATTAATTACCATTATATACATTTTAAGCCTCAACTATCTGTTTCTTTTCCGTGTAAACCAACTTCAAATTTTGAGGTTTCTGTGCAGGGTCTTGGTGGTCTTCTCTTTTGGGGAAACAATTCTGCTTCTGATGACGACAGGTAAAATTCTTAATTTGTGAAACTTGCTTTATTTTCATATATTTATCTTCAAAGATCACTTGGTTTATTTTATTATATAAATACATATATATTGAAACAGACATATTATAATTTGATAATAATGAGATGAGAGCATGAGGGCAATTACAAAGAATTACCAGATTAGTGGAAAACAAAAAAGAAAGCAATGGTTAATAGCGGAACAAAGCAAAAAGTATTCATCTAATAAGTGAATAGATTTCTGACAAGCTTTCATTTGTGCCTCCTTGCTTTTATCATATTGAAATTGAAGAATGACGGTAGATATTTTTTTCCTTATTTCCATCCCTAAATTTGAAATAATATCCAAAACCTCTTTTACATTTAGATTTCAATACTCAGAAGGTCGAAGTTCGAATCAAAAGGTTGCTCAAAACTGTCATCAACATACTCGATAATGCTAATGGGATCCTGAGCTAATTATGCTGGATGATCTGAATCAATGATTTTGGACGAATAAGGCATTATGTTATCTTCCACAGGATTTTTTTTAGTGCTAATGTATTCATCAGAGCTCTTTTGTTAAGCAACTTAGAGTTCAATACCAAGCTTGGTTTCTTCAACATCTATGACCCAGTTTGGGGAGTAAAAATCTTGGAGAATCGACCCCACTTCTATGGTTGGACCAGACCAACTATTTAAGGAGTGATGGATGGATTAATTGGAGAAAAATTGGAAAACTCCTTGATTAGTTTTTATTCTCTCCTTATTTTTGTTTTTTTCAGAATTATTTCCTTTCCATATTTTGGCTAAGATATATTTGGTAAGATTGTAAATGATGAGAAACCAGTTTCCCCATACATGTAGCCTTATGGTTGAACATTTGTAAAGGGAATTAAGTGAGAATTCCCTCCCACAGTTATTTTCAGTAACAATTAAAAACCTTGCACTAAACTCTCTTAGTAATACCTGCCTGCTTGTCTCTTGGTTCATCTCCTCTAAATGTTTTATTGCATTACTTTGTAAAAAAAAAGAATTAATTCCATTCATTTTCTAAATAACAGCCACGTTGAGCAACTACTAGACAGAGTAAACAATGGTGTCCTAGCTGAGGATAGGCGTTCTGCTATAACGGAACTGCAGCAAGTTGTTGCAGAAAGTAGCTCTGCTCAGTTAGCATTCAGTGCAATGGGTGAGCTGTTATTTTAATATATCTGTTGTTAATCTGAAATAAGTACTGCATTTGAAGCCACTTCTATTTTGGGTGTTCAATGTGTCTTTTTCTTACAGGCCTTCCGGTACTTCTATCTGTGTTGAAGGAAGAACGGGACGATACTGAAATCATTCGAGGTGCTCTGGAAACTCTACTAAGTGCAATCACGCCTATTGATACAGTACCAGGACAGAAGAATGAGGTTCGGCCAGCTTCAATGAATGTGGATCTCCTTTCCCGTGAATCAGAGAACATTTCGCTTCTTATTAGTTTGCTGGTAAATTTTTTTCCATGTTACCTCGACTATCATTTTTGTGCATTGTTATTATCTAATAAGGCTCATGTCTCTCTTAATTTGGCAGTCAGAAGATGATTTTTATGTCCGGTACTATACTCTGCAGCTTTTAACAGCTCTTCTCACTCATTCCTCTAACAGGTTAGATTTCTGGTCATATAACTAGTTTGTTTTGATTTTGGTTATCATCAAGTTCATTTTTGTAATCATCGCTTCCTTTTACTTACCCTCCTAGGTTACAGGAAGCCATTCTATCCATTCCTCATGGTATTATTCGCCTCATGGACATGCTTATGGATCGTGAGGTGCAAATCTTTTCCCTGTATTTTTTTTCCTGTTGTCATTGAAATAAATCTTTCATGTTTTCCTTTTATATATCACTTTCATGTTATTCTTAACTGTTTATTTCTAGGCCTGGATTACCTTAAAATGAATATTCCCTTCATTTGGGTTTTATGCATTGTTCACTGAAGGCTTTTGGAATTCTATACCATGTGCTGAATATTGTTGGTGTTTTTTTTGGGTCGCTGGTAGGGCTGTCAAAAAACCTTGTTGTTTGCAAATAGCTCGTGTTTGGTTTGTGAAGTAGCTCGTGTTTGGCTCATTTGTTAAGTAAATGAGTCGAACACGAACAACCCTTTATTCGCTCGTGTTTTGCTCATTTTAGCTTGAAATAAAGAAATTATATATATTATTTATATAATAATATATTATATACTATTTATATAATAACATATTATACATACTTATATTTATGTTTAAATCATAATTGCTTGTGTGGTCACGTGGTTTTGCGCCTTAAATTGCAATGAGCTGGTGCAGGTTCAAATCCAATACCCAACATCTATTTTTTCCAATTAATTTTAACGAGCCAATTTCAAGCCGAACACGAACACAGTGTTCATGAGCCAATTTCGAACACAAGCAATTTCGAACGAGCCAAACACGAGCCAAGTTTGAGCTCTCTCAAACTTGACTTATTTACAACCCTAGTCACTGGACAAATGATTTCTTTTGGTAATATTTGGGTTTTGGTTTAGTACAAACACTTTATAATACAATAACGAACTTGCTAAGTTTAGCACCCGTGTTATTTATTAATTGATTCTAAGTAAAAAACATGCTTCATATATTAATTTGGCTCTTTCCCGTGTAGAATGGGTTTTAAGATGGGTGTTGTTCTCTATAGAATGATGCAAATCAGTGGATTAGTTAGTGGATAAATGAAATTTATTAGGGTTCAATGTAGCGTAGATATATGGCTACATTAGTACTATTATTTTATTGCACTAACAAGAAACTTATTTGAAATGGAGATAAATAACTGTTGATTGTTAATATCATGCTGCCTCTTTTCTTTGTAAGCGATCCATTGTTCCCTTCTGCATATTTACAAGTATTTATATGAAATTGAGAATGTAGAACCCCACAATAGGGTATCTGCCTTTGTACTCCTTTATATGAAATTGAGAATGTACACCACACCGCCGCCCCAAATGCGCCCTTAGTTATTTTCATCGAGCTTTACTCAAGTTTGGGTTGCTTGGATGAAGCTCAACACCAAAATATGAGCTTGATGAGCTAGAGTTAGGTTTTAGATTAACACCATAGTTGAAAATCAACTCACCGTTGAGCTTGTTCTTGAAAAAAAAAAGGAAAAAATCTTTATAAACTATAATTCGCATTTAGAGGAAAAAGAGTTTTGAGTGTCACGATCAGGTCTGTGAGTTAGAATTTTTAAGATGGGAATCAACGGTCGGACGGCAATGTCATATCAGGTTAATAATCACCCAAACATTAAAGAGCCGTTAAACCGCAAAAAAAAAAATCTAATAATATATTCAATCGAAGCAGGAAGAACACTTTAGTTGCAAGTTGCAACGTATCTAATTGCGCCAACAGTTTCAATGAATAATAAAAAAAAGTGAATTCAAGATAATGATTACATTATGCATATTTTTATTTTCTTATGTGAATATTTAAACTATAAGTGAAGTTTTACCGTAACTTAGTGAATAATTACATTTTTACTGTATAAGAAGTTAATATAAATGGCTAGCATGAATGCTGAAAAAAAAAATGATGATTAACATTATTATTTCATTTTGTTAAAGCTTTTAAACATTTGTATTTTTTCTTCATTAGAATCTCTTAAACAATTTTATTTGCATTTCATTTTGTTAAAATTTTTTTTTACCAATTATGGTACAATTTCGTTAATTTTTTTTTCTAAACCTTTTTAATTTTCATTTTCATGCACGGGTGTAATAATATTCACATTTAGTATTATAATGGGACGATATATGTCATTGAGTTATTCATTTATTTTCTTTTAATTATTATTTATTTTTCTCAATTAATTAAAATATACATTAATCTCTTAGTGTGGATGCAATTATGTATATTGTTAAAACATGTTATATTGTTTATGTGATAATATTGAGTTTCAACTTTCAATAAAATTTTAAGTTCTTGCAATAATTCAAACAATTCAAATATGATCTGAATTAAATTATGAAATTTCACTTATATTTAAAAGAATCGGTACAAACAAAAATGTAATTATTCATTTTAACTTTCATATGATTTATTCTATTGCTGAAATTTGAATCTCAACTTCTTATAGCATGTTACCTTATTACTTAAATCATTCTTTTTAATAATCTCAAACTTGTTAAACCTGCAACTTAATATTCTCATGTTAATCATATAACTTAAAGACATTATCTTTTTTTTCCCCTCTTTTAAAATTGCATTATTTATGATTAACTTGTATATCTCACATGCATCAGTCTTTAGTTAATCCCTTGTCACCTCCTTTAATTGATCAATTCTCTGATCACGTGTCTATCAATCTATTATTGTTTTATAATCAAGATCTTAAAATATCTATTTCATTAAGTATGAGTATTTATACAAAATAAAAGTAGTACATATTAGAATAATTATCCCATTTATGGGGCCCTTACACATTTTTTTCCCAAATATTATAGTAGGAAAAAGTATTACGTCCGGAGTTCAGATGTGGATCAACATTTGGACTCCAATGACACATTGATGCGTGGTAGGCCTCATTCGGGATCCATGTGCATGATCGAAATAAGGAAATAAAGGTGGTAGCCCAACCGGGCTTGAAGATGTGTGACGTTGGCCGAAATTTGAAATACTTGAAACGCTTTGACGTGCCTGCCCGCATTCACCATTTATTCTCTTAGGTTTTACCGCGCGATGTATTTTTCGAGTTTCTTCCAGCCTTCATTCTTCAATCCTCTCGAGGGTTTTTTCTGCGCTATTTAAGCGAGGTTTTAGTTTTTGGTGGAAGCATGGAGCTTCTAGGGCTTTTTTACCTACTGTATTTTAATGTTTTTCTTAAACTTTTGTTTCATATATAATAAATTTTGAACGAGTTAAGGGTTTTCCGCTTACTTTACAAGTCTGTTATATTTGTGGATATTGACATAAGTAACATGATGATACAAATAAATTATAAAGAGGGTAGAATCATTTCTTTTAAGAAAATACTTTATATAGCCATATTGTTTTGTTTAAACAATGTGTTAATATATTTTGAGCATGTTTGTTTCCATATATTAATTCTTTTCAATGAACTTTGCTTGAGCATCATTATCATACAAAAAGGTTACAACGATGGTATAACTATTTTTCAAAAAAATAGCTTTTGTAATAATTTATTTTTATTTAGAACAATGTTTTATGCTAATTTAATTTTGTTGTTCCACAAAGAAGGAACAAAAAAATTTGTTTAATCGAAATGACATGTATTACTCTAGAAATATTTTAAATAATATATAATGAAATTTGTATCATGTTTTGTTTCTTATATATTTGGTTTCACATTGAAATTTGTCTTGTAGACTTGAGGGTAATATGGGGGGAATAAAGAGGGTACACAGTTTTTTGCACACTTAAAATATCATTTAGTGGTATAAAATATTTTATACAATGTGTTATACTAATTACATCACGTTTGATTGCTTATATTAGTGATTTTTTATTGAAATTTCTTGTAGGTTTGAGAGTACAAGGAGGGTATAAAGAAAATGCAAAGTTTTTTCATTACAAATAATATGGAATGCTCTAGAAATATTTTAAAAAATATATAATGATATTTGCATTATATTTTGTTGCTTATATTGATAGTTTTTCATTAAAATTTGTCTTGTAAGCTTGAGCATACAAGGAGCGTACAATTTTTTTTTAATTAAAACATCATATTCTTGTCTAGAAATATTTTAGATAATGTGTTATGCTAATTGCATTACGTTTGATTATTTATATTTGTTTTTTTTCATTGAAATTAATCTTATAGGCTTGAGAGTACAAGGAGGTTACAAAAAGGGCACAAAAAATTTTTTCACTAAAATAACATGGAATGCTTCATAAAAATTTTAAACAATATGCAATGATTTTTTTATCATGTTTTGTTGCTTATCTTGAAAGTTTTCTATTGAAATTTAACTTTTAGGCTTAACAGCACAACTCTACAAGGAAGTTACAAAGTAGGCACAATATTTTTTTGTACTTAAAACATCATGTGGTGGTTTAAAAATATTTTAGAAAATGTGTTATGCTAATTGCATCGCGTTTGGTTACTTATATTGATAATTTTTCATTGAAAATTGTCTTGTAGCTGGAGGGTATAATAATGGTAGAATGTGGGTATAAAATATTTTTTTTTCACTAGAAAAAACATGGAATGCTCTAGAAATGTTTTAAAAAATATGGAATGATATTTGCATCATATTTTGTTTCTTATATTAGTGGTTTTCTGTTGAAATTTGTCTCATAATCTTGAGCGTATAAAGAGGGTACAGTTTTCTTTTTTTTTTGGCATTTAAAACATCATATCGTGTCCTAAAAATATTTTAAATGTGTAATGCTAATTGCATCATGCGTGATTGTTATATTGATATTTTTCATTGAAATTTTTCTTGTAGGCTTGATGGTATAAGGAATTTACAAAGAGGACACAAATTATTTTCATTAGAAACAATATGGAATGCTTTAGAAATGTTTTAAGCATTTAATGGTATTAGCATCATGTTTTGTTGCTTATATTGATATTTTTTCATTAAAATTTATCTTGTACATTTGAAGGTACAAGGAGAGTATAAAAAGATACAAAAAAAAATTGCACTTAAAACATCGTATAGCGTTACAAAAATATCTTAAACAATGTGTAATTCTATATGCATCGCATTTGTTTGCTTATATTGATATTGTTTCATTGAAATTTGTATTGTGGGCTTAAGAGTATAAGGAAGTTATAAAGATGATACAAATTTTATTTTCAATTTAAAACATCATGTAGTGCTTAAGATATGTTTTAAACAATATGTAATGTTAATTGCATCACATGTGGTTGTTTGTATTGGTGTTTTTTCATTGAATTTTGTATTGCAGGCTCGAGACAAAGAGGGTGCAAAGAGAGAACAAAAAATAGTTTTTTAGAAATAACATGAAATGCTCTAGAAATATTCTAAATTTATATGATTTAGAATATTGTAGGAAGGGATGGATTTAGGCATGAAATCAAATAGGGGACCGTGGTTACTGTAGCAGCAGCAGTGCCATGGTCGGCGAGCTCCCACGTTACTTTGTGGAACTGCTATTATTTGAGTTGGAATCTCTTGTAAGCAAACATGTAAATACCATTGTTGTTCTGGGCCACATCTATAAATACTTGGCCATTAAATGTTGCTTCTCATTGTGATCGTCCAACTTTATTCTCCAAGTGCTCCTTTTAAAGTTCACCGACTTCCAAGTTGGTTTGACTTATAAAATCCCTCGTTTTTTTTAAGGTATCAAATACTTCTCCCGGTAGCCACTACGCTTAGGCGAGACAGGCATTGATTTCTTCAGAGCCTAGGATTTCTGTTTGTGTCCAAATCTCTCTGTCCACAAAACTGATTCAGAATATAGCAAGTAATTGTATATTTTGCTATATTTTTGTAAAAACTTTAAATATAATGTATTTACGAAATTAATAACGAACTATTTTCTTATATATTCATATTATATATTATATTATTGTATTCATTTTATATATTTCAATGTTATTTTTTATATTAGATTAAAATTTTAATAATAATAATAATAATAATAATAATAATAATAATAATAATATATTTATGATCCATTTACTATTAATTTTGAATGTGATTGTGTGCTATGTGGCATGAAGTTTGCGCGGGGAATGCACACTATCGTATTTATCCACTTTCCAATGTGACTTTGGAGTTTATGAGGCCGAATTTCCATTTTGTTATATTCTTTTTTTTGTTAGAAATCGCTCTTCACTTCTTCTATCAACCAATAAATTGGAGTGGTCCTACTTCAACTCCTCACTTTTTAATCTTCTTACATGTCGCCAAACAAGCTCTTAAGCCATTTGAAGAGTTTGAATTTTGAAGGCAATAAAACTCCTGATTTTTCACTGTGATTAAAGAATTGTAACACTTGCCTAAAGCTTTTTCTTTTGGTTTATTTGGCGACAAAATCACTTGCAAAGTTTGTTAAGCGGAAGAATCTCATTCCTAAAGAGCTCACATGGATTTTTCCTCGCCTTTTTTCTGTCTTGCCTGCCCATTTACGATTTCAATTTTTCATAAGGCGGAGGTGTGGAATCTTCTTGCTACTCTTCAATAATTTTTTTCTGGGATTTTGATATGGTTTATTATTATTTCTTATTAAAGGAAAAGTGATAGTGAAATATTTTAAAAAACTACTTTGTCAAAATAAATTAAAATCCTTATCTAGTTTTTTATTTTGAAAACTAGTTTCTGACTTATTATTGATCACTGTGAAAAAAGTTCTAAAAACCCATGGTAATAGTTTGAAATGCACCATCAAGTTTGAATTGAAGTTAATTATTTCATTTATGTGCTTCATTAGCCATACTCTAGTCCACATAACGTACTAGTATAAATTATCAAGATATGCTATGCAAAATTGTCGTCTTTTTTTCTTTAGGTTTTATATTTATTGATCTAAATCATCCCCATTTATTCGGAGCGCCTTCTGTTTTTCTATTTTTACACATCCTTTCAATACACAATCAATTTAATGTTAAGTTTTCCAGATCTGTTGGCTTTCCTTGACAATTCCATGAAGTAACTCTACTTAATTTTCCACGTACACTTATGCTCAAAGAAACTTGACATGATTTTCTATTTGTTGTCTGTAATTTTCATTTGATCTCAACTCTTAGTTAAGCTATTTATGCAAGCTTACTTTATATGAAAGGTTATCAGAAATGAAGCACTACTACTTCTTACATACCTAACTCGTGAGGCAGAGGTGAGCTACCTTGTTTTTATCTTGAGAAGTTTCCATCAATTTCTTGAACATTTTCTATTACTCTCTCAATACGTGGAACATCTTGTCATCTTGTTTTTTCAGGAAATTCAAAAGATTGTTGTTTTTGAAGGAGCGTTTGAGAAGTTATTTAGCATTATCAAAGAGGAAGGAGGATCTGATGGGGGTGTTGTTGTCCAGGTGATTGGTCTATAATTTACTTTGAAAACTTGTCATTATCTTATCAGCCCAATAATGAGGTTGAGTTTTAGGCTGTTGTGCTTACATTATTTCTGACCAAACAAATTAGAATACTGGATTTTTTTTTCCTTTTGAAACAGATGATATATTTATTTGAAGTATCCTTTTAATTCACTTATGCACTTCAATGTTCTTGCTATCATAATAGGATTGTATTGAGCTGCTGAATAATCTCATTCGCAACAACGCTTCTAATCAGGTTTGCCCCAATGACTTCTTTTAACAATTAACCACGATGCTTATTCTAAAATTTAGATCTCATTATTTAGATGTTGCTCAAGGAAACTATTGGATTTGAGCCTTTGATATCAATTCTGAAACTCCACAGAGGAAGTGCTTATAACTTCACACAACAGAAGGTATATTGAAGTGGACGCTCCTACCCTTTTTATATTAAAGATTACTTTTAATGGATATGCAGTTCTACTGGTTCTGACTGTTTTTAATTTTGAAATGAAAAAATCGTCTTTGTAGTAGACAATAAATCTGCTACATTCACTGGAAACTGTTGACTTGCTTCTGATTGGAGGTCCCGATGCTGACCCAACAAAAGATGCTAATCGATTATCTAATCAGACGGCATTTGCTCAGGTAGTTAAAGAACTAGAAAGCATTTATATATTTGTAAGTTGAATGGATTTTCTCAACCCAATGTTATAATTTTCTTTTATTCAAAAATCTCAGAAGAAAATTTTAGACCATCTTCTGATGCTGGGAGTTGAGAGTCAATGGGCTCCGGTAACCGTGCGCTGTAGGGTGAGACATTTCACTGTCATTGCAAATAGTGTTAAAAAAATTCTTGCTTTTTTTAGTTTTGAAAAAGTCTCAAAATGATCCCCTTATTCTTTGCAGAATGTTGTTTTAGTCCCAAAGTGTATAAGAGTATCAATTTAGTCCCATACTCTTTTAATGGGGGTTACAATAGTCCTTAGAGGCTATTTCAACCCATATTAAAAAAGTATGAGAAGTAAATTGGCATTTTTATAGACCCGGGGACTAAAATAGCTTCATGTAAATGGTCAGCAGACTATTTTGATACTTAACTCTTTCAGTTTTTATCAAAGCTTCAGCCAATGTTACTGTAATGATTTTATCTTTCAGGCATTGAGATGCATAGGAAACTTGGTTGTGAGAAATCCTCAGAATTGTGATGCTCTTGCAAGCCAGTTGGTTGGAGAGGAACGCCATTCTGAGCCCGCCCTTAATGCTATTCTTCGTATTAGTCTGAGTACCTCTGTTTCTCAGGAATTTGTTGCCGCTGTCTATGTTTTCATGTGCTTTTGCAAGGTTATCACATTACCCCCTTGCCATAATTGATTGCTTTTTTTTCTTAGTTGTCATGCATTTTTATTATAAATCCTTCTGCTACATTATATTCTTTTACTGTGCTACCACGTGTCGGTCAACTTTTTTATTTTGAAATCTGAAAAAATAGAAAAATAATTTTTAAATTTAATTTAAATATAAGAGGTATATATTTTTGATTTTGAAAGTAGCGTGTTTTAATTTTTAAAAAATAATACCAAATGGATCTCATTCGTCCAATAGTTTGCATAGTCGTGTCCGATATCGTGAATACTACACATATCCGAAAAGTGAGTGTATCTCGGCGATAAACCCAATCCTGCAAACTAAGAGATTTGTGACATCCGTTTGACCTGCAAATATTTTTATGTGTGGCCGACAAGTTCCCCTATTTAATACAAATATTAAATAGAGTTTATTTTACCTGGGTTTCAAGTTCCCTATATAAACAAATCCCTATAGTTAATTACATCTCAAATGACGGGAGTCACTTGAGAAAACTCTTGATAGTGATCAGAGCTACTAGTCTTCAAGATCTCAAAGTTTAGGTTTTCACGATATGATGTAGAAAAATAAATGAGAGTGGCTCAAGTAGGAACAATTATTTTCAAGAGTCCATAGGAAAGAGAAGGTAGGGGATGCCACAAATCATGAGAAGAAACCTCAGTGACTTCTCAAACTATTCTAATGTGTAGCTGAGTTTTGGAGACAATGTTATTTAGGTGTTTAATTCTGCTAATTTTATTATTTGGGACTTATATTTGCATAATATCCAATTATGCAAATAGTCTGCAAAGAGATGAGGGTTTGCGTCGTAACGAATGACATTCTGAGAATCTAAAGTGAATTAGGACTTATGCCGCACAACAAAGTTGTGCAGGAGCCTAAAAAAAGGAATGTAGATTTACGTCGCGCTAGACGAGCTACCTCAAATTCCTATGGGTTGTGAATTAGACTAAGGAGAGAGTTTAGCTGGTGTAGACTTGTTTTGCTGTTGTAGAATGAAGACCGCCTCCATTTGTAGTCCGCTCCAAGCTCCATACTGCGCTGCCCATGAAGTTGCTCCAAGTTTTTGTTGTAGCAATGGCTTCAGGGTTTAAGTGTTTGAGATTGGTGATTTTTGTTTCCCAATTTTTGTGTCAAAGTTTGATTTTGTTTTGTTTCGGTTTTGGTTTCAGTTCTGGTTTTGCATGCAGAATAATCAAATTGCAGGTAAATAAAATGTATTTGAAAGTAAAAATGCAGTATAATCAAAGCTGTATCCGGGAGGCCTGTTGCTTCTTTAAGCGGGCTAGTATTTACTGTATAACAAAAGAAACATTTCCTGAAAAACTTGAGAAAATCGACAAATGACCCACGACGGAAAACTCGGGAAAAATCAATAAATGACAATTCCAAGAAAATTATCAAAATCTCGGGAAGATCCCGAAAAAAGGGACCACGAGTGTTTTCCCCAAAAATTCTAATAAAATATACGAAAAAAATCCGAAAAGAGGGGACCGCAAGCACTCGGGTCAGGGTTAGGTTCAAATATAAATATAATATATTTGTACTCGAGGTACGTCGAAGGCTACTATCGATCACCCGGATGTATAGAACCTGCCACTCAACTAGAAGGGTGTCCTACTAAACCTAACTTACATATACTCTTTCGCCCGGTATCGATAATCAACAAGTGAACAACCAAGTTGTAACACATTTAAAATTTATATTTTAACATGCACATGGATTTCAGACATACAAAAAGGAATTTGTATCAATTTTGTAGTAAAAATATTGTATCTGTTATTATCAATTTGTTTTATAAATTTTGAAAAAAAAATATAGTTGTCCAGGAGTCGATCACGTCGTCGGGCATAGGACCGCCAACAACCTAAGAAGGTACGGGTTCCCCACTAGTCTTGTGTTGGTGAATGAAATTATCATCCTACAATTTATTGGGTCCCATAATTGGGTCCTGATGTCGTAGGATGAAATATCATTCTGCTCTACCACTGACGTGCCTTTGTCATCATCGCCCTCGCCACCTAGACTCTAGACTTATTCTAGTCCGATGATTCATATGTGGTGTTAACAAATTTCCTCAATTGCTAGAAGAATTTGAGTGTAATATCCAAGCTCAAATCCCGGTGCACTGGGTTTCATTATAGGTTAAGTTATTACGGGAATTTCACTGTTGATTCAATTAAGGAAGCATGAACTACGTCTCGGTGCATCATCATTTCTAGTGTATTAATCAGTTTGTGAATCAGAGTCAAGTGACAATTTTCATTATTTATTCAAAAATTGGGTGGATGAACGTTCAATTAAGATGTGCTTCTAAAATCTAAGAAGCCTATACTGAAAAATAGGTGGATGAACTCTCACCTAGGGTGTGCTCCTAAAATCTAAGAAGCTCATGCTGAAAAAATAGGTAGATAAGCTCTCACCTAGGGTGTGCTCTTAAAATCTAGGAGACCTACACTGAGAAATAGGTAGATGGGTTTTCACCTAGGGTGTGCTCCTAAAATCTAGGAGACCTACACTGAGAATTAGGTAGATGAACTCTCACCTAGGGCGTGCTCCTAAAATCTAGGAAGCCTACACTTTAGCTTGTGCCTAAAGTGATTTAAAGTGTTATATCCCCAATTAAGTGTTTTTCAATTAATTCTCAAATATTTCTAAATGTCTTCCAAGTAATTAAAGGAAAGAAGCAAACAAAAGAAAAAAAAAAAGCAAGGCCGATCAACCCCCAAAACTAGCAACCAAAAAAGGGAAAGCAGAAAGTGAATCGGTATTGAAAGCGCTTCAATTCTTTTAACAGTTGTAATTAAATAAACCCTTGAGAAGAGTGCTCAAGTATGTTCCAAGACAGAGTGTTGATTGACCCACAAGGTGTTTAAATCCTTCTCCAAAACAAGTATTATTGCAAGCCCAAATCAACAAGTATGCGTAGCAAAAACAGCTCTCTTGTGTTTCCCAAACTCATCATGTTCATAAGGCAAAAAAAAAAAACAAAAACAAAAAAAGTTCCCAAATGTCTCCCAACAACACTATAAAAGCCTCAAAAAGAAGCCGCACTGATGAAAGCCTTATAAGGATCTCAAAATCAGCATTGAGTTTAAGGAACCACAAGACAAAACTTTCCAGTCCCTTGACAGCCACCAAACAAGCCCAAGTAGTGCAGCTCGGAAGCCACCAAACAGGCCCAAACAGTGCAGCCCGGCAGCTACCTACAGCAGCTTCTAGGTTTCGACAGCATTTATATGACCCCAAACAACATCTATATGAGCCCAAACATCAACTACAGCACCCATACAACACCCAAATAGCTACCTACAACAGCTTCTATGCTCCGACGACACTCCAAACAGCTTTCACAGCACCCTAACAGCTTTCACAGCACCCTACACAGCTCTCACAGTTCTCCAAACTGTTCTCATAACACCCTAACAACTCTCACAGCACCCTGCATCACTACACAACATTTTTAACAATTCTAAACAGCAAAAGAAACATCCACGAAACAGTCCCAAGACGACAATTTAAAAGGCTACAAATCCCTCTCTAAAACAGCGAATATGGTGCCCAAAACAGTGAGAAACTTTCACAAAATACTCCAAAAAACACCCTTAAATTTGTCTCAAAATAGTGTGCAAACCTCTCCAAATAAGCACTTTTGGTTCTCCAAACTACATAATTTTTTTTTTCAAATTGAACTCGTACAATCTCATATATTTCCATATGTCACAACTAAAGCTTTTGAAGCATGAATACAAAGATATTAAAGAATATTTCATTTATAGCTACTCTAAGTATGGCTCACGTATATGTAGCCCAAATACACGAGATTCATCACATGTTTGACCAAAGATTATACAACTCAAACCGGAATCTAAATTTATCTAATCCTACATGAAAGCAGCCACATGGTCATTTAAACTTTTAAATTGCGGAAAACATATAAAATGAATTTTCAATACTTGCATGGCCATAACAACATTACAAATACAAATAACTACAACATGTTTGTCAATTATTAGCATCACCAAAAAATCTTCCCTTAATATCGTTCAAATCAATCCACAAGCATGTCACAAATTTAACTGCAATGACCTAAGTTTCAAAAATATACATTACAACAACTAGGCAACTCGAAGAAAATCCGTCGTGTTAAATATCAAAACTTAAAGGGAGTAGTCAGCATTTCATAACGCATTTCACCGTTAAACTTTGACCAACAAAGAGAAGGAATCAAATCATTATCCAATTCCCTAAACAAAGAGGGAGACAACATAAGCTAAATAAAAGAAAAAAGCTATCGGAAATAGAAACACAACAACAGAAATAACAAGATATGAAGCCCAAATCGGACATAAATAAAATCCACAGAAAATATAAGTTTGTGTTTGGGATCTTGCAAGAACTCACAGAGAAGTGAACGGTCAGAGGATTGGGTTGGACAGGCAGAGCGTGCACAACTGACTTCCTGTTCCGATTGTCCAAATCGTTTCCTGCAGGGCAGTCGGCTGGGAGAGGAAGGGGCTCCGACTGGACCTCATCGAGGGAAGGAGGAAAAAGCGAAGTGCAACTGAATCTTGGGTCTCGGGTTCGATCGATAGGTGAGGGAGTTGGAAGCTTCGGTGCAGAAGGGAAGGCGAGAGCTTCAGTGTAGAGGAGGGAGTCGAGCGGGTGAAAGCTTCGGTGCAGAAGGAAAGGTGAGAGCTTCGATGTAGAGGAGGGAGTCGAGTCGAGCGAAAGCTTTAACGCAAAGGAGAGGAGAAGGCGAGCGAGAGCGGGCGAGCACGAAGAGGGAGCTGGGTAGCAATCGAGAGAAGGGGAAGGTGTCGAATGAGGAGCCTAGATTCGTCGTGAGAGGAAGATGGAGTCGAAGCAGGCGTGCGGGATCGGCGTAGAGAGGAGGCGAGCGTTTTAGTGCAGGGAGGAGATGAGCGCGTGTGGGAGAGGGCGGTGAGGTCGAACGAGGAACTTCTGTGCTGAGA